ATATATAATAATCAAACAGAAGATATATCAAATAATATAATAATAATAATAATAATAATAATTATTATTATTATTATTAATAATAATAATAATCAAACAGAATATATATAATAATCAAACAGAAGACCATTTGAAGAAGGTTTCTCATCTGGAAATTATGATCCTTTAAAACTCATTTGAAATATACATAGGATCAATGCAAGTGATTCAAAGCAAATAATTCATAATTTTAGTTAGTGATGTCTAGCCTTAGCCTTTTGAAGGATTATTAAATAAATCATGAAATGGATTAAGTAGTAGTACTTGCAAAACTGATAACTGATATTCCAATATGAGAGAACATAGTAATAGACAAAAGCTAATTCAGCCTCTTGTTATCCTGACATTTGCATTAATGACAAACATTACATCTTCAAATCTGATTGACATTTCTTACTGTAACATTTATTTCAGTGGCACTGAAGATGCAATTTTAATTTTCCCTAACTTAATTCTTGCTCTGGTGTTTATGCTTACTTACTCATGTTCTCTGGAATTACAGGTCAACTGATTATGGGACAACATATGAAAAGATGAATGACAAAGTGGGTCTGAAGACCATTTTGAGCTACCTTTATGTCTGCCCAACAAACAAGCGGAAGGTAAATAAAAGAATATGGTTGCTTATAATCATGTCATATTTGCCTTGTTTTGTTAGTTATTATTTACATAGCTATGTTTGTATACATCCTACAGAAATAAAAACAAGCTGTTTAGGCTTTAAAGTACATTGGGACTTTCCTTTTTAAGCTATTTGCATATGGATGAATGGTAATCTTCCATCTAGAAAGTTTCTTGATAAATGTCGATCTTTCATCTAGACAGTGATTGTAATAAAAAAGGTTTTACTAAATTTTATATGTGCTTAGACAACAATTCACTGGAATCTTAGCTTACCTGATCCAAAAGTACAGTGGAGATTCTTTCCATTGTATTCCAATATTGGAAAAGTTTGGCAGCTAAACTTTAGTGCAGCTACTTGACAGGTTAATGGTGCTGAGAGCAGTATTACTCTCTGAGGCTTCAGTTCTTCTGCTCATGTTAACTACCAAAAGCCTCCCAAACATTAATTTGCTAAATGAATAATTATGAAGTTAAACTAATAAAAATACTGTACAGCAATACATCAAGAAATGAAATACCTCAAAATAATAATATAATAATATATAAGCAAATTAGGAAAAAAAATATTGCACTAATTCAATGCAGATAGCTAAAGGAGTAATTACTAAATCCCACAAGGCTACCTTTGGTAGATTGTCTCAAAAATTTGCAATCTCTACATGTCTAAGAACTTTATTTCAGCACAAGCTTCCTCGTATGTTCAAGTGGGACTTCTAAACAGTATAAAAAGAGGGGTGGGGAGGAAGATGTGGGGGAAGGAAACAGCAACAGGGAAATGTTCATGCACTTTAATACAGTCTATTTGTGGAGTTTTTTCTGGCTGTACACTAGAGGATAACATGAGGACGACCGTGGTAGATCTAAATGAAACTGTGTGGAACATGTTTCATAGACTGGCCCAGGGTTGGACTTGACCAGATGGCTGATGATAAAGATGAAGATTCTGGTGAAATTATGATAATTTCACAAATGAGATAAATTTTACACAGAAAGTTTGATGTGAAGCTTTGTCCCATTCTAGAAGCAAAACAAGTGGAAGCTGATAGCTGGTAGAAAGCTTGAAGTCATTTTTATTCCTGCTAAATAAGGATGAACTCATTATTATTATTATTATTATTTTGGGGGGGGAAGGGCTCATTAAGATGTTCAAATGACATCTACAGAGACCAAATTGTATTTAAAGTTGTTTAACTTTTAAGTGCTTCCAAAGCGAAATGAAAAGGATTTGACAAAATCCTGCAGAGAAAATGTATCCTAAAGCCTAGAAGGTTTTAATCATACAGGCATCCTACTGAGAAACAATTTGTAAAGGGTTTTTAATGTGGAAGTACTCATAAAGTCAGGTGGTTATATTTTTCTCATTTTCTTTACCTATGAACAGCTTACCTTTGAGTTACCAAAATAAAAGCTTTTAAAGAAAGCTAACATTATTTTCTTCTTTTTTTAGGTGAGGGGGAATTTATGTAGTGTATCTGCAGTTACAATGATGCATGAATCTTAGGTGAGATCAAATGAGAAACAAGGGAGCCAGTACTGCAGGCCTGTCAATATTCCATAAATATACATAAACACACACAATTGCTACTAATTTTAAAAACCAACGAAATAGTAATATGGAATTAAAAGAACAAATCAAGACTTTGAATTAAGAAAATTAAAAACTTATTTTCCAAGCTTTCTATTCCTCTTTGATTGTTTAACCTCTCTAATCTGTATAACTAATAGTTCATTTTTTGTATTCTTATTTACCAGATTCCTTTTAACTGATGCAGTCAGTGATATAAATATTCATGTGTGACATTCTTTCCTAATTCTTCAAACATCCTTTGTAAAATTTCTAGTGTAATCCCTTTTTCTGCTAATCCCTCTGTAAATGACCCACTTCTCCATTCCATAATTTACATTATTGTTCTGGTGGTGGGAATTTTTTTCTCTAATTTGGAATTCAGAAAGGGGAAGTAAAATGTAAAAGACAGAAATAATAAATTTAGAGATGAATGTGGTCTAAATCAGTATTTCTTAAGTTTAAGAGATGTGGAGTTCAACTTTAAAAGATGTGGAGTTTAACTTCCATCTGAAAGTTGAAGTCCACATATCTTAAAGTTATCAAGGTTGAGAAACACCCTAAACAGTGGAACTAAGAGAGAAATAGTTTTGTTTAAGATTGAAAGCAATTCCAAAGGAACATGGTAAAGACCTTAGAGACAATCTTGTTGAATCTTTAATCAGGTTTTTAGAATGTGATGTGGAATATATGGATGCAGAAGTAGACAAGTGTATAGAATTGGTACAAACTATGCAAAACTAAGAAAAGTACTAAGAGATATACTTGTATATTTTGTCAGGAAGAAGAAAAGAGACCAGCTTCTGCAATGACATTTTAATATTAAATGAAGTATACATATTTCAGAAGTAATTCTGTTTATCTATTCTGAGGTCATAAAAGGACTAAATTACGAAAAGCTCCTGGTCCAAATGGACTATGAGCCTCCTATTATATATATATTTAAGGATAAATTGTTACAGCCTGAATTTTGTTTTGAACAATGCTAGCTGCACAGATACAAACATAGCGTGAAGTTTTAAAGAACACATACACATACAGTAATAGTAGGGACTGCCATCATCATACTACTACCATAGTATAGTGGCAAAACAAGGTCTGCATGGAATGTACCATTGACAGATAGTTGAAGTGGCTGGCACAGGAAAATACTACCAGTGGCTAAATAAGGATTGGAGTAAAAACATCACTAAAGCACTACTCACAACATCATAACAAGCACTCAGCCCCAAATCCATAGAAGTAGGGGTCTACCATATTACACTGTGCATAGAGGCTTCGTAGACCAGTCAACAAATAGAAGCAGGGTTTAAAATATAGACCGGAACAGCATACATTGAATAATGCAATCAACTAGTTAGCATTGTGTAGGGGAAAATCAGCATGGTGCATGAGCTAGACCAGTGGTGGGTAACCTTTTTTGGCTCATGTGCCTAAAATTGTGAGTGCACCTGCTCACGCAGGCTCACATGTCAGCATCCAGAAGGCAATGCATGGTGGGGCTCCCCACACCCCCTGCACATGCACGCGTGATCCCCCTGCATGCACCATGCATCTCTGCACATGCATACCCCCATGCACTGCGTGTCTCTGCACATGCATGCACGATCCCCATATACCATGCGTCTCTGTGCATGCACGCGTAATTCCCCCACATGCTGCACATCTCCGCACATACGCACAATCCTCCAGCACATGCCTTCTCTGCGCATGTGCATGCATCTCCCACACATCCCCACCCCTGTGCATGGGCACCAGATACCTGACAATCATCTGTCAGGCAGGCGGCACATGCGCATATGCAGTGGGGCTCTTCTGGGCAACCTCTTGCATGCCAGCAGAAGTGGCTTTGCCTGCCATTTCTGGCACACATGCCATAGGTTTGCCATCATGGAGCTGGACCCTCTAAGATAGGAGATTTCACAGAAGGTCGTGGAGAATAACAGGACTAAGATCCTATGGAAATTCCAGATCCAAATACATAAGCAGGTGCAGGCTAATCCACAAGGCACCAAGAACCATAAGACAGCAACAGTGACAGCAACACCAGGAAGGAGTATGAATATGGAAAGACTACAAGAACCCGAGGGAGAAAATCAAAATGATATGGAAAATAAAGGCCAAAATGGTTCCAAGAATGGTAGGAGTACTTGAGACTGTGATTCCTAAGCTGAGAAAGTGACTCCAAAAGATCTCAGGAACAGCATCAGAAACACATCTCTATCCAGAATAATACAGGGCTATGAACAGCTAAGATACTACATTGAATCCTCAAACTCACAGGCCTCTGGTAGAAGGCTTGAGATTGAAGAAGACACACAACAACCCATAGTATCTTAGGCTGGGCATGTGTATGTGTGCATGTGTGTATATGTGTGTGAGAGAGAGAGACAGAGAGAAAGAGTGCCTCCAGAAGTTGTGGATGCTCCAACACTGGAGGTTTTAAAGAAGGGATTGGACAACCATTTGTCTGAAATGTATAGAGTTTTCTGCTTGAGCAAGGGGTTAGAGTGGAAGATCTCCAAGGTCCCTTATACAACTCTCTTATTCTGTTATCCTGAAAGAGAGGGGGAGGGGGAGAGAGGGAGGGACGGGGGAGAGAGAGAAACAGTGGACAGCTTCATCCTTTTAGGATCAACCATCAACAATAAAAAAAAACCAAGCAAATAAGAAATACCTAATAGACTAGCACTTGTAGACTAGCCATGAACACCTTGGAACATACATTCATATACTGTAATGTGTTCATAACTACAAAGATCAGAATCATGTAAGCCATCATATTCCTTTTCATCAAAATGAAAATTGGGTTTTAAGAAACAGAAAAGGTGACTATTGGTGCTTTTGATGTTGGAGAAGACTCCTGAGACTACTGTGGACAGCCAAGAGGACAACGCAAAAGATCAATTTAACATTTCTATCCAATATTGCCACTTGAAGCACAAATGATCAGTCTCAATTTATCCTACTTTGAACATATTATACAAAGAAGCCAGCTATCTGGAAAAGGGTTTAATGCTAGAAAAGGTGTACAGAAGGTAAGTATAACCAACAGCAAGGTGGATGGATTTAGTTACAGTGGTGATGAATCTCATTGGGAGACTTGAAATAATAGATTGTCATGGAGAACATCCATCTCTGTGGTCACTAAGAATCAAAAACAATTGAATAACACATTTCTCCCTTCCTCCCTCCTTTCTTCCCTCCCTATCTATACGCACATAGACACACAAAGACACACACAAACCTACATATATACAGTATCATTCTTTTATATCATGTTAATGGCTTATGATGTTATATAAAAACCTGTTTGCTAGGAGTTTGAAATGAAAACATGCAATATATACAATGGCAAATAAAAAATAATGGTGTAGTAAGTGGCCTATCATCAGTAGCAAGGAGCTGCAGAAT